CATGTCGGGATGCACACCGGAGAGCGAGGGCGGTGGTCGGGGGCGGGGGTGGCGAGGGCGGAGGGGGCGGGGGCGATGGTGGCGGATACGGTGGCGAGAGAGAGTGTGGTTCTTGTTGTCTCGGCGCAGTGCGTGTGGAAAAGGGGGGGGGAGGGAGGGGGCGGCGGGCGGGTCACTGGGGCGGCGGGCAGGGGCAGGGGCGGGAGGGCCGGCGCGGGGATGTGTAGCGACGGGCGGGACGGCCGGGGCGGCGACTCGGCGGGGACGCGAGGGAGATGGGCAACGCTGGGAAGGCGCCTTCATGCGGACGATGTTGGTGTGCTTAAGGTTCCTGAGGAGCGCGACCTGCGGGGCGGGGCGGCGGGCGTGAGCGGAGCAAGGCTCGGGCAGGGTCCTGCCTAGCGGCGGCGCTGCGAGCGAGGGCGACGCGAGGGTGTGCCGTAGCTTCGTATCCGGCGCGCCTCTCGCAGCGTGGTGACGGGGATGCCCTCGTCGCGGTCGTCGAGCAAAATCTTCTTAATCGCGACGATGCCCTGGTCCGTCTTGTCCCTCGCCCGGTAGACCGTGCCGTAGGTGCCCTGCCCGATTTTGTCTAGAATCTGGTAGTTTAGCGGCAGAGAGGACCTCTGCGGCACCGGAGGAGTGGTGGCCGGAGGCGAGTCGAGGCTCTCGTTGGAGTCGAGTTCGCCCTGGTTGGTGGTCATCGAGCGCGTCTTACACAGATGCGCCCGAGGTCAGACCGTTAGTGCTTAGTGTACGGGCGACAGCGCCACAAGATTGCGCTCCCGCGCAAGAGCCAGGTCCCCTCGAAATGTGGCCAATAGAGGCGGCCGCATAGTTTCTTTTTTCCCAGAGAGATGAAAAGCGCCGAGATTCGCCGAGATGTGTTTGCGCCAACCTGCTGAGCCGTTTTGCTGCTGGCCATCCGTACGAGGTGCTCGTAACAACGGCTCGTAATTGGGCAGGCGCAGCAGCGTACTTTTGATTCGTGTTCGTTTTGTTTTCGTTGTGTGTTTAGAGAGTTTTGTTTTGTGTTTAGAGAGATTTCTTGTGTTTAGTGTTTTGAGATTTTAGCAATACGAACAACAATTGTATGTAAAATGAACTCGGGGGCACGGGACGCGGCACAAACGGGGCACAAACGCCAGGGCCCAGGCTACAAAGACGGGGAGGCACGTAGTGACGCAGGGGAGTCTAGGCGACGGCGGCGTCCTCCGACGCCGCGGCGAGCCTGAGCTCGGTTGTTGTTGTGTTTTGAGAGAGAGTTTTTGTTTGTGTTTTGTTGCTTTGAATGGGTTCGAAGAGGCAATCCCTTTCTTAAAACCCCATTTTGCTGCGCCGGGTCGTAAGGTAAGGTAAGGTAAGGTAAACTTCTCCACACACACGAGGTGGTGGGGCAAGGGGGGGCAACCCTCGCGTCTCCACGTCTAACGACAGGAGCCGGGTCGTATCCAGGGACCAGAGGCTTAGTTACAAGGCTAGTCCGACGAGGTCGGATCTACGAGCTCGAGGGCTTGCGGTAACTAGCCCCGTTACCATGCTCGTAGTTTTGCTGTGTGTGACGTGTGAGGTTAATGACTGCACTCCAAGTGGTCCAACCTTTTTCCCGTGAGACGCTCGAGTCAAGGTCCGCGCACACCCCAGTTGCGCGTCGGGCTGTGCTGCTGCTGCTACGAGCCTACGACTGTCCGTGCTCGCTCCCAGGAGCGGGCGCGTCAGCCGCCAGGAGCGCGCGCGAAGCCGCGGAGTCGCTGCTGCTGGCAGCGTGCTAGCTAGCCATTCTCACGCCTCGGGGCGTCCTCCTCCCAAAAGACATGGGCGCCCGCGCCGTCCTCGTCCCCGTATGGCATGTGCATGTACGGCGTGGACTCAAAGACCTGAGCGGCGCAAGGAGGTGTCGACGCGGAGAGGGAGGCGGAGGGCTCGGCGTGGGACACGGGGGAGACGCACCGCCCTCGCGCCCTGGACAGTGATGTCCAGCGGCGCCCACGACGCGGCGACCCGCCCGAAGGCCGCATGCGCCGCCTCCCGGTCGGGCGGCTCGGCGGACCACCTGAAGGCGCGACAGTGAGGCTGCGAGAGGGGCGCGGGAGCCCGGCGGGAGTGCGCACATGGCCGCCTCACGGCCGTTGAGTGCACGATGTCTGGGAGGTGCGGCGGCGGCGCGACCGCAAAGCTCGGCAGCGGCTTGGCGCTCGACCGGTCGCCACCGCCGATCGCGGGCACGCCGCCGGCAGCCACGATGGCTGCCTCGAGGCACCTCCGCATCGCCCAGACGGCGCCATCGCTGTCCTCGTACCGAAAGATGCCTGACAGACACGAGACAGCAGCGCTGAGCACCCGACGCACGCTTTTCGAGTAACTTGGGCAGCCGCGGCCTTACCCGCAGCGCCCTCGAGCGTCGGAGGGCCCATACGCAGCTGAAACTCGCCCTTCGGCCACTCTGGCGCTCTCCGAGCGGCTTCGAGGACGGGAGTCCAAGCGGCAACCAGCCGTCGCCGCGCGTCCGCGTCGAGCGGGCCGCCGGTAAAGGCGCGCAGCGTCGCAACGGTGCAGTGCAGAGTGGAGGCCGGGTAGATGTAGGCCTCTGGCGGGAGCGCCGCTCGTAGGCTGGCGGAAAGCTTGGCGTATGCGAGGGCCACCTCTGGCGGCATTGGCCAAGAGCACACCAGCACGGCGCCGCAAAAGTCGTCTGTGCATCGGTCCCCGGCCGCGAGGCGTGCGATGATGGCGTTGTCCCAGCGAGTCGCCATCGGTACGCAGGGTTCCGCGGCTCCTACCCGGATAGGGGGTATGTGCACCACGACTCGCGCCAAAACGCCCTCCCTATCTACGACTATCTATCCACTAGGGGGTTATACACTCTCTGAGGCCTCAGACCCCCCTCTGAGGACGGGTCGGACCCCTGCCTTGGCGGCACAGAGGGTTTGACTCTGACTCTGTGCCGCCTCTGTGGCCTCTCTTGGCTGATTTTGGCCTCAGAGGGTCCCCGGCCGAGGGTCTGTCTTGGCGCGGCACAGAGGGCGTTGACCTCAGAGGGTAGCCCCCTCTCGGCAGACAGAGGCGAGTCGCGAGAGCCCCGGGCGGAGGCCGGAGCGCCTAGCCCTCCACGAACGGCGCTGACCAGGGAGGGCGGGGAGGGGGCGGAAGCAGCGAGCATGACTAAGGCGCTACTCTACGCTTGCTGCTGCTGCAGGCTCGCCCACAGCGCCCGCGCCGACCCCTGCGCGACAGCTTCGCGCGGCCAGCGCGCAGCGGCGCCGCCGACCCGTCAACTTGAGTGAGGATGTGCTTGGAGCGGCCGCCCGAGGAGGAGGTAGTGATCTCCACATCCGTCCCCTGCTCCAGCTTGGCCATGAGGCGCCGCGGCGTCCTAGTGAACTCGAACTTGAGGTATCCGAAACCAATGGAAGCTGGGCCTGCTGGGGGGGGGGGTTCTCTCTGCTTGGCTGGGGGGGGTTCTCTCTGCTTGGTGGGGGATCACGACAGACTTGAAATACCGCTGAAAACTCCCTCTGAGGAGCGGCCTCGCGGGGCTTGCCTTGGCGTCTCAGAGGGTCCCCGTAGCCTCAGAGGCTGCGCCGAGAGAGGCTGGCTTGGCGGCACAGGCCTTCAGAGGGTCGGCCCAGGCACCCTCTGAGCCGCTCGTGGATGGCCTCTCTTGGCACAGAGGGTACCCTCTGAGACGAGCAGATCTGGGCCCCCTTGCCTCAGACCCCCCCCCTCTGATACAACCCCCTAGTATCTATCCCCAGGCTGCGTCCGCAGCGAAGCGAAAAAAGACGAAAAAAATACATGTCCCGTCTTGCTTTGTTTCCTAACATCGAAGGCTAAGCTCAAAAAAATACTACCTGTTGCAGGGCCCTCTGGAGCGGTCAAGGAGGTCTTGAGGAGGGGCGTCCAGAGCTTGACTTCATTCACCTCATCGCATCCTCCCGGGCCAGCGTGGGGTTCCGCGAGGTCGACCTTGTACCCCTCGTTGTACTGCCGGGTGAGCACGCACGCACGCACGACACGCACATGACATGCACACAAGCATTCACGCACTGCTCGCGCGCCGCGGGCAGTCGACGCCTCTTCACACCTAGCCGTGAATAGCGATTCTTCACGCCTTCATCACAACAACAACATGTACATGTCCTTTAGCGGCCCCTCGTCTTCGACCTCCCAATCCGAAGCGAGTTTGGTCGTGAACTGGGCGTACATTGAGCCGGCATCGACGGGAGTACCATCCTCGGTGAGCTTGGCGGAGTGTGCGCTGATGAGGTTGTCGACATAGAGTCCGAGGATAAGCATCTCACCGTCCTCGTTGTCGCAGACCACGACGCATCCGTCCGAGTCCTCGAGCCGGCGGACCGTGAGGCCGGGGATGGCCTCGCCGCAGGTGCTGACTGAGCCATGCAAAGATCTTGCGCTGCAGACGGCGGCCTGACTGGGGGGCACCGTACACAGGTTTCTCGATGCGGCAAACTCTCGGCGTGCCGGTCTTGTCCAGCTACACCGACGCCTCGCCCTCGGCTCTAAAAAAAGAAAGAAAACACCGGAGCCAACGCTTTGTGCAAAAGCAATCGTTGGTGCTCGCTTACTCGCGTACAGCCCGGGTGGTCCTGGACAGCCCACACCACCGCCTCCCTCTCCACCGCATAGGACATGCTGCTCTGCCCACCAGCACGCGCAACGTCGCGAACATCGCTCGAACAGCTCGCAATCAAAACAACCAGCCTCGACGCCGACGAATTCAGCAGCAGCGACGACGAGGCCGACGACACCAGCCCGCCCAAGCGAAAGAGCCTAACCAAACGGATCGACACTGACCACCCAGGCTCGCGGTCAGCGCGGCTCGCACGCCGGCTCCCGAGCGTGGCCGAAGGGAGCCAATCGCTCAAGCTGCCGCGCCGGTCGCTAGCCGCCACCGACCCTTCCTCTTTCACGACGGCAGACCGCTCCTCGCCCGACGTCTCGGCCGATCCACAGATGCCACCATCTCCGGCCGACCCTCGCAAGCAGATGAAGCGCGTGGCGGAGGCGGCGGCCAACGGGACGAGCTTGGCAGAGCCCGTGCTTGGCACGGCCTGGACAGAGCCTGAGATTGCTCAGTGTGCTCAGTGGACTGAGCCTGTGGGCTGGGCCCATGAGCCCTTCGCTCCAGGCTGGGCCTTCACCGGCAGTTGGACGGGTGGGGCAGTCCCGCCGATGATGGTGTGTCCTCAGCCCTCGGTGCTAGTGCGGATGCCTGTGCAGATGGGGCTGCAGATGGCGCCGATGCAGATGGCGCCGCCAACGTGCTACGAGTATTCGATGCAGTACGTGCAGCAGGTGCCGCCGCAGCCCGTGGCGCCGCCGATGCACTACGAGTACCCGATGCACGCCTTCAGCCCGGCGGGCCAGCCGGTGGGGTGGCCGCCGATACCGCAGCAGATGGCGCCGCAACCGCAGCCGCCAGGCAGCAGCGTCCCCTGGGGCTCCCTCGTCGCCACCGCGTTGGACGCAAAGGGGTCGAGGGCGCTGCAGCGCCTGCTCCCGACGCTGCGGGACGAGGAGCTCTCCGCCGCAGCCGGCGAGCTGGCGCCGCACCTCTGCTCCCTCGCCCAGCACGCGTTCGGCAACTACCTCGTCTCCAAGCTCGCGTCGCTCCCGCTCCTCCGCCCCGCCCTCGCGGCCGCCTTCCGCGGCCACATGGCGAGCCTCCTCTGCCACGCGCAGGGCTCGCGCGTCGTGCAGGCCTTCCTTGCCGCCGCGGCGCCGGCCGACGCGGAGGCGCTGGTGTCGGAGCTCGACGGGCGCGTCGTCGAGTGCGCGCTCGACACTTACGGCTCGTGGGGCGTCTGCGTCGCATACAGCGCCACGCGCGCCCCGTTCGTGCTGCGGCAGCTCTCTGCGGCCGTCGTGCGGCTGTCTCTCGAGCAGCACGGCTCCCGGGTGGTGCAGTACGTCCTCAAGGAGGCGGGCAACGCGGGCATCGACTGCTCGGCGGCGGTCGACCGCGTCCTCGGCGGCGGGCTCGAGGAGCTCGCCCTCCACCGCTTCGCAAACTACGCCGTCCAGGTGGCGCTGCGGCAGTGCGGCGCCGGCCAGCGCGACGCGATGCTCGGCGCGCTGCTGCCTCGGCTGCTGCCGCTCTCGGCGAGCAAGCACGGCTCAAACGTCGCCGAGGTGGTGCTCTCGCTCGCCTCCCCCGACCAGCTCGACGCCGCGGCGGAGCCCATCTTTGGCGGCGGCGACGAGGCGCCCGCGGCTCTGCGGCGGCTGCTGCAGCACCAGTTCGGGAACTACGTGCTGCAGACGCTGCTGCGCCGGCTCGCCGACGGGCCACGCCGCGCCGCCGCGTTCGCAAAGGTGCGCGAGGCGACCTCCGCCGAAAACTACGGCCGTTCGGTCCTCTCGCGGCTCGGCGAGGTTGAGGTGGCGTGAGGGTGCCATCAAGGAGGGGCTGAGAGGCTGTGGGACCCTGATCTACCTAGTACCCTTCGAAGTACCCTTGGGGCGCATGGTCTTTCCTCCCCCCTCCGCCCCTCTGGCGGCCCAGACACGCGACGCGCCTTAGACCGCGCGCGGAGAGAGGGTCTGTGGCTTGGCTTTCGTGATGCACTTTACGATGCCGCCGTTTTCGGTGCTGAAGCTAGAGCTGTGAGTGGTGTGTCTGTGGACTGTGGTGTGTCACCTGCGATGCCCAGATGACGTCAGCGACCCAGGTGACGCGTCCGGGTCTTGAGTTGTTTATGGACTATATGCCCAGGTCCCCCACCGAGGTGTGTCAGCGACCTGGCTGGTCGGCGCAAACTAGAAGCAGATCAACCAAATAGGCGTATGCATTGCCTATCCAGGGCTATCACCTGGACCTATCAACAGGCACCTGCGGCGCCGTGGTCAGGAGCTGCTGTTCACACTTGCACAGACTTTGATACGGCACAGTACGTAGGAACGCCGCAATTCGCTTGTGGCCGCGGTTCACCGACCGTCATGCAAACTGCAAGCTTGCCTGCCCACTCCTACCAAAGGTTTGCCTCCTCCGATTCGAGCGGCACGCTCGCCTGCGCCAGCCTCCTCCTCGCCGTCCAAGGAATTGGCGAGGCTGTCTTCATGTCGATGAACGCACGGCACGATGTGTTCGGGCCGACGCAGGTCTCACTCATCACTCACACACCGGGCCCACGCACTGTCGTGACCTCTTGCGAATGACGGTCGCCTTGTGCAGGCGATGATCGGCCGACCATACGCGGTTCTCTTCTTCTTTGGAAGGCAGTCGCTTGTGATTGCGGCGATCGGCTTTGCTGCTCGGCTGCGCTGCGGCGCACACGAGCTCAGCCCCTTGCTCCGCGCGTCCGCGATGCTTGCGCTCCTCTGGTGCACCGGCGTGCTCATGGTGGCCTCCGACACCCTCGACCCGTACTCGGACCACGCCACGCTGCTGGTGTTGCTCCACGTGCTCGGGTATGGCGTCCTCGTGCCGCCGCTGCTTGCGAGGCACGTCCTCGCCCTCTTCACCTCGCTCCTCGGCTTCGGGCTCGCCCTCCAGCGCCGCTTCCCATCCCCCGGGCAGCCGCTCTGGCCAGCTCTCGTCCACGGCGTGGTCGTCAACTGCGTGGGCTTCAGCCTCGCCTATCTCTCCGAGGCCCACTGCCGCGACAACTTCGCGCGACTGCAGCGGCTCGGTGAGGAGGAGAGGGTCAAGGTTTCTCTACGCGACAGCGTGCACCGCCTGCTGCTAAACACGCTCCCCGCCCCGATCGTGCGCCACATCGCTGCTGGCGCCACGGACCTCGCGCACCGGTATGGAGAGGTCACCGTGCTGCAGGCCGACCTCTCCGGCTTCACAAAGCTCTCGAGTGAGCGATCCGCCGCCTTCGTGATCGGCCTCCTCTCGGACTTGTTTGCAAAGTTTGACCGCCTCACCGAGTGGCACGGCGTGCACAAGGTCAAGACCATCGGCGACGCTTACGTGGTGTGCTGCGGCGCCTTTGACGAGGCGCCCACCGCCGCGGAGGCGGCGCGGCGGGTCGTCGGCATGGGCCTCTCGATGCTCGACGAGGTGGAGCTGTGCAAGCGCGAGCACGGCGTCGACATCGCCATACGCGTCGGCGTGCACACGGGCCCCGCCATCGGCGGCATCATCGGCACCGTCCGCTTCCACTTCGACTTGTGGGGCGCGGCGATCGCCGGTGCGGCGAGTCTCGAGGAGCAGGGCGCCGCGGCGAAGGTCTACGTGTCCTCCTCTGAGTTCATAATGAGTCATGAATGGCTCATGATCAATAGGCGCCGCCGGGAAGGTCCACGTCTCAGGCGCCACCGCCGCGTTGGTGGACGCTGAGCGTGGCGGGTCCGTCAAGTTCACCAAGCAGCCCGACCTGTTGGCAGCGAGCAAGCACGGCGTTCGTTCGACCTATTTCGCCGAAGCGCTGCTGCCCGCGGCTCCTGTGCGCTCTTCCGCCGCGTATGGCCGCGATACGCAGGGCTCGTCGTCCCGCTCGTCGCCCCGCCGCTCCACCAGCCGCGAGCGCGCCTCCCACCGCAACTACCTCGCCTCCGCCGGACTCGGACGCGGGCTGCTGCGGACGGCGCTGACGCCGCTGCCTTCCCAGCTTGCCGCTGCGCCGTGCCGCACACCCTTGGGCGCCTTTGTGTCGCGGCAGCTGGGCGCGACTTCGCTTGCAACGGGCGACCCTCGCGGCAGTTCAGACCGCGCCGCGCCTGACTCACCACTCGGAAAGGCGAGGCAAGCCGTGGCCGCGCAACGGGAGGCGCAGCGCGGTAAGTTTGGCGGGGCGTTCGCCGCGCTGTCGGGTGTGCGTGCGGTGGTACCGCCAGGCGGCGAGCCCCCGCGCTACCGCAGCGCCAGCGTGGATGTCGGTAGGGTCGGCAGGGTTGCGGAGGCCGAGGAGGCGGCGGCGGCGGAGGAGGAGGAGGAGGGGAGGGAGGTGGAGGGGAGGGAGGGGATGGCGTCGGTGGCAGAGGTGCGGGCGGCCGTCACGCAAGCTGTGGCGATGGCGACTGAGGCGTCAGTGGCGATGGGGAGGGCGGCGGCGGAGCTGGAGGCGGTGGCGCTGAGGGAAGACGAGGCAGCTGCAGAGCTCAGGGAGGAGAAGGCGCTGCTCGAGGCGCAGGTGGCGCGGCTCGAAGAGCTCCGCGTGTCGGCGGCGGCGGCGCAGCGAGACATGAAAGCGGCGGCAGCGCTGGAGACCGCGGCGCTGGAGGCGGCGGCCGCCGCGGCGACTACGGCGGCTGAGGAGGCGGCGACGCCGCAGGCAGCAGGCGTTCTCAGCTCGATGAGGCTTTCGAACTCGACAGACGAAGGGGTCGAGGGCGGAGGGAGTGGCAGTGGAAGCCGCGACGATGGCAGCGACGGCGGCGACGGCAGCGGCGGCGGCGGCGGCGGCAGTGGCAGCGGCGACAGCGGAGGTGACGACATGAGCAGTGGGCGGCGACAGCGGCGGCCAGTCTACCGAGGCGTCGCTCGCCCTTCGTGCGCCTTGTCGGTCTCTGCCCGGGTCTCCCTCTCTTTCCGAGCTTCTCATTCCCTGCGAACGATTTGACACATGACTCATTAGGGCGTCTCTCTGCCGGGCCTCCCCGCTCCAGAGGACCTCCCCATGCACGGCCGGCAAGACGGCGCGTCCAGGCCTCGGAGCGCCGCCGGAAGAGTCTCGGACATCCCTCGCGGCAGCGCGCCACCGAGTCTCAGAACTGTCTCGGAAGCGTCTCGGCGGCGCGTCACCGATGTTTGGGTCCGTGCAGACCGCTCGCGAGGATGCGCAGGGTGTGAATGGCGCCTCCTCTTCACACCTCCGGCCGTGCGCGCAGGCGAGCTCGCTGGTGAGGGGTGGGCGGCTTCGAGCCGCCGCGCGGCCGCTCTCAGGGTGCTTCGAGCCGCCGCGACGCTTTGTAGAGGGTGTTGAGTGTGGAGCGCTGTTAGAGCTGTAGAGCTGTAGAGCGCTCTGGAGCGCTGTAGAGCCTTTGAGAGCTCTACACATCGCTCCCGCGCGCTGACGCTGGCCGTCCACCACTCAGCTTCGGTGACCATGTCCTTAGGCACGACGCCAGCGGTCGCCCCGCGTCGGCCCACGGGGGGAAAGGCGGCTCCGCCGCGGGGGCAGCCACGTCCGGCCACTTCTTCGCGCCGCACGCGGAGGAGGCGGAGGCGCCCGTGCTCGAAGCCAGCGACGGCGAGGTGCGCCGTTTCTTGGCGCGCCACTGCGGAGTCCTTCTCGGCTGGGTCGCAGCATACGGTCCGTGGCTAGAACCAGACACTCCTTGGACAACACGGCGGACTCCACCACCTTGGGATACATCCGGGGTGACCGATCGTGCCTCCACCGAACTGAACAATTTCGTCGTCACCTAGGCGTCACCTCAGCCCGCCAATTCATTTGATTCATTCGTGACCGCAGGCGCCTGCGACCTCACCCATTTCTCGGTGCCGTACGTCGGCCTTGATGGCGTGCAGCCGCTCCTGCTCTCGCGCTACGCGCTGCTTCTTCCCGCAGTGCTCGCGTTGCGCGGAGCTCTCTCCTCGAGCCAGGCGACGGCGAGGGGCAACAGCGTCGCGGCAGTCTGCCTGCTAGCGCTGCCTTTCTGCGCGCTGCTCGCTGTGACCCCCTCCGCCGAGGTCAACGGATCCGACGTGAACCACGTCAGTCCACCGGCCTAGCTGCTGACAGGTGCTCCCCTTCGTCGGGCTCGACGCCAGCCCCTGCTTGGTGCCGTACACGCTCGTGCCGTGCGCGGGCATGCCAGGCTCTCTGTCCGTCCGTCCGCCTGTCTGTCCTCCCTCCCCCCCTCCCCCCCT